CGACTTGGTGATTATCGTAAAATAAGAACTCGCATTTTGATTGTTGATACATATATCTCAATACAGATTTGTCTTAAATAGCAAAATCTAATCTCGCATCATTACCATTCTTCAAAAATTGCAATAATTTTTGAATTTACAGTATTATTTTTCACCTATATGTCGATCTGTTTCCACATACTTACCAGCATCGCCATAATATTCTCCAATAATCAGTCTATATTTGTCTGCCTCGTCAGATACTCTAAAGATGTAGTATTCCGCATATCTCTGGTTCCCAATGTTATCAGTTAGGTCTACACGTAGCATGTACTTATTTGTATAGGTTAAAGTGTGAAGGTTATCATTACCTGAAATAATAAGAAGTGGTTGTTTTTAGTTATTCGGTTAATAAAAAATGAATTAATCGATGAACACTTTTTATGAAATACCCTTTGCAAACTTAGCGACATTCTAACTATTTTTTTTAATTCCCCATACAGATAGGATGGTGTTGCCTTTGAGTTGTGTTTTACACTTTTGTTTCAATGATTTTGTGGGTCTCTTGGTATTTGTTTTTCTTTTAGTATCTTCCTCCACTGTTTTAAGTAAATACATGATGATATTTTTCTGAGTGTGTTAAACTTCAAAGGTATATTTTACTTAGACATTCTGGATGTTCGATAAACAAATTTAATTAAAAGAGATGTGGTTTCAACACCAACTTGACAGCAACAAACCAATACAACCAACGTACATCCATAGTAAACATACAACTATTGCAAGCTCTAAATCGTTCATAGTCTAAACTAAGTAGTCAAAGAATTTAAAAAGATTAGTCAACAAACAATTCTCAAAACAGATAAGAAAGTTATTTACAAGGTTCCTGACATTTGTCAGACACATTAATGTGGAGCGGGGTAAAACAAAAGGAGATCGATGGACCTTCTTTTGGTTGAACCTCTTTTCATTTAAAGCCATGGGTCTCGAGCGGGGTAAAACAAAATTTAGTTCGCTGGCCCCTCCTAAGGTTGAATCTCTTTTCATATTTTAGCCATTAGTCTCGTGGCGTACTTGATGAAGGCTATTTCTAATACACTTGCCGTACACCATGAAACGCGGTAATTAGTGTTTATAGTATAAACGAGTACAAATGAACTCTTGTACCAACATTTTTCATTGGTGGTTCAATCATACCATATCTTAATATAATAAATTTACATCTCTCAAGGACATTGAACTGGGGTAAAAATGTCAACAATGTACAAGATGTACAAGATCACTAAAATACCTAACTAATGGTTTAGTGACATAAAAGTCTAACTACCTCATGTACCTTGATTTTCTTTTTCAAGAATAATGGATTTATCCTGTTTTCATATTTTAGTTCATTTTCCATTAATAAATACAGGACTTCAATAAGGATGGCCTAAGTATAAAAAAACATAAGTTGTGGTATGTTAAACATGTATTGTAGTATTGGTGTTGTAGTGTAACAGCACACCATAATAACCTTACTCATCAGATCGACAGAAAGGCAAATAAAACAACTAACAAAAAGAGTTACAAGATATACACCAATCACTCGCAGTTACTGAAAGTTAGTTCTTTTAGAGTTTACTTGCTTTATCCACCAATAAAAAATGTTCATCATAATATAGCCTAGTTCACTGAAAGTGGCGTAAAAACAATCAAACAAACTACTATATACACTTTACCTAACCAAAATTCTCCGGATAAGCTACCAAATCCGTTTTTATACTGGTTCCATGTCTGGTAAAAGTTAACAAAGCCATCGTATCTATTCTGAATTAACTGCAAATATAGAAAAGAATACAATTATCTTAATATTTCAATGACCTGTACTGCGGAAAAAATAATTTCTTTCCCATTGTCAAATTGTTATACATAAGATACGAAATGCTCCGTCTTTCAGGACTTCCATCAAAATTAAAACAACACTTTATAATAGTATTCCTGTGAGGATTTGAAAAGAATTGACCATGCCTGACGACGTAACATAGAAATAACCATTTATATGGCAAATCAATAGAAAAGAAGGATTTACTTTGCCTGCATATCGTCTAAAATCAATTACAGAAACAGACTTTACCATATTTCGTGAATACGATATTTTTCCACTCCCGAAAGTTGACTGTTTAATATTTTAAACGTTCAGCGAGCCTCGCGTTTTAAATTTCAAAATGCAACTGAGATGGTATATAATTTTTATGTACCAACTACATTCGAAAGTGAACAATTATTTTAAATCCATCTTCGATGTTCCAGTATTTGCTTAATATATTTAACTTTATACTTAATATAATATCTGCTTTCAAATTGTCAGTTGCTAACGTTGCCTTGGAAACAAACTATTTGAAGGTACACGTTAGCTGTTTTAAATTTTATATTAACCTCTCATGATTTTTTCTGCGATGAATACAATGTTTTACAAAAGAAGATTCTCAATGTTTTTAGTCAATGAAAATTTCTATAGTCATATAACAAGATTGGTTGATTACATGCTTAATGTATAGTGGCAAATATATTATGCATATATACATATTCAAACTTTATTTTTAAATCAAGTTATATGAACAAACAAACAAAGTAAAATAAGATGAACAATTTTGCTTTCGAAAAGCTTTTCTGGATTAACCTTCATAAAAAGCGTCCAGACCGAAAAAAAATATCATGTGTCCTTTTTTATTTAATCGAAACATAAATTCATTTCCATAAGTATCACATTTGACAGCTAGATCATTTTTAAACAAATTGAATTTGCTTCAAGTGAGATGAATATTTTCAAGCTAAGTTTGAAACACGGATGTTAAAGTTTCAAACAACAATTGATTCGAAAAATACAGAGCAATACAGGGTACCCTGTTTCCACTTTCTGTATTAACATATATTAATATTCGCATAAGTAAGTCTGCTTCATTTTTATTTTAGGTAAACGGAATTTTACTCATTTAATCACCTAATCCCTCCACCAAAAGCAGAAACAGAAACATGACGAAATAAAAAAAAATCTTGAGGAGATTGATCATTGTTCAAAATAAATTATTTTTCAAACAATATTGTGTATTTTGCAAATCCTTGTTTAAATCTGCACAAAGGCATTCTCTATACTTGTAAACTGACACGGATTTGTATGACTGACAAGTAGCTTATTAAACGCTTATTTGCTCTAACAAATATTCACAAAATTAAAAAATAAACAATTCAAATTTCATATAAGTGGACAATTTATGTTTCCGAAGTGCATTTAATTTACCGCACTGAAGTACGTTCGTTATTCGTTTTTCATTTTTTCAAAATCGTTGGTGAAATAAATTGAGCATTAAATGGATGAATCAAATTTATTTCTCACTTAATGTAGAGGTAATTAACAATTCATAAAATATTTCCATTTTTCTTTCCAATTCATTTGAACAATATCATCTATTTCAAAAACTAAAATATAAAAATTTATTGATAAAATATAAAAACTGCACGTTAGAGAACACAAACAAAATGCGATCAATAACTTTCTAAAATAATTAGCATCAAAATGACTATGAAAATTAGACGATAAGTAAAAGTAGGTATTAAGCTTAAATCCTAGGCAATAAGCTAACGGCTAGGCAGTAAGTATCTTGCTTAAACAATGTTAGGCATTAATATTAAATCCTAGGATTTAAAATTAAATCCTGATAAATATGTCCAGGCATTAATGTAAATGCCTAAAATGAAAATGAGAGTAGATAAATAGAAATTTATTCAAAGTCAAAAGTCAAAATACATTTTGTACATAATGAAATAATAAGAACTGAAGTTTGAATTTCAATTACATAAAATAAAATTATAAGTAAAATATTGATGTTAAAACTCATTGAATAAACCTCCTAAAATATATGTAAAATTGTTGGATTGTTGTCCCATTGGCAATCGTACTACATCTCGATAGAATATTGTATTGAAATTTATTTGTTACCAATGCAATTGGTGCGAAGAAATGGAGCATACGTCACAGTTTTATTTCGTTTTATCATTTGTATCTGGTGATCGTCAAATATCTTTGTGCAGAGTAGAACTCACTGTATATAGACGATTTGATTCCAATTGACCACTGTTTTAAAGAGCAATTCTCTGTAACCACCAAAGAAATTCTAATAGGGTCTGGCACACATGGTCTCAGATTTTGATGAAACTTTTATATAATAGCCAGTACCATACCTAAAGGCAATAACAGGCAACAAATTGTTCCGGAATATTCCGGTTGCCATGGAAACCACATAAGTTGATTTTAGCAATAAAAGGTCATATGTTAACTCTTGAAAAAGTGAAAAAACGACATTTTGCACTGTTTAGTACTTGATTTATGTGTAACATATCCTTTTTTCTGAATAATATAATATAACTGACCTTTAAGCTGTTTGAAATTCACATATGTTTTACTTTTACCATTATCAGTTATTTTGCTACCAGCTAGTAAAGATATGCTAAAATGGCAAATTTGGATTTCAGTGAATAATGCGTAAATACAGGGTATTCAAGTGAATTTTTCTCTTGAATGCAGCGTCTCCTAGTAAAATGTTAGGTATATTTAGAAAGAACCAATATAGGTCTTCCAGAATATAAAATAAAATCAATGGGCAAATAATTGCAAAAAATATTTTTAATGAATGAAAAACACAAGATTTTCAAATTCTGTAAATTGTATTTTTCTACAAGTCAATAATGATCCAAGTAATTTCCATATTTAAACAATACAAAGATGGCATTAAATTTCTTACAATTTAACAAAATTGATCAGTTAAATTTTTCAGTCCAGAAAAATAGTTTTGTTTAATGAAATTTAATAAAAATGGTTGTTATGGTAACCGAATTTTGAAAATTTTACAATTTTTTTTTCTTTCTAAAATTAAGTATGTATCTTTACATTTTTAAAGATTTAATTTTGTAATTGAATACAGAGGGAAGAAATAACTGATTGTGCATATTAACAAAGTTTGCTATTTATAAAGCAATGCGGGTAAAATGCTGGTCCGACTTAAATATTTAAAATAAAGTAAAACACCTTCTAAGTACATGCAAATTTCATTATATTAAACTCATATTGGTGCAATCATGTGTAGGTAATTTAGGAGATAACTGTATTGTATTTTAACCTTTTCGGACATAAAACGTAGATATTACTGTCGCAAATTGAGTTTACCTAGCGACCTGTAGCAGAGCTAGGTAAACGAATAATTGCGACAGTAAAATCTAGATTTACGTCCACAAACCTTAAAATAAAATACAGTTATATCCATTCTAATGCAATAGTCAATAAAGATATTGTTTCTGTTTTTTATTTGGACATATAGTTGCTTAAAATAAAAATTCCACAAAATGTTGTTGACTTCTTTGGCACATAAACTTCATAGCAACATCATGACGTCATATGAATACTTCAAGTGTAAAACTCTAACATAGTATGTTTTGGGGCTTTGTTTACGCTTCGAATTTGGATATAAGCTATTAAAAAGTAGTTTAAGGTAGGCGTTTTTTTTTCTATTTCGCCTATTTATTGGGAAAATATAATGTTGTTGAATCCAATATGGCTGCTTCTTGCATCCTTTCAAGATAAATAAAATAAATCCGTCATGAATTCTTTCTGTTTGATGCTAAAGAAAATCTTTTTCTTTTTCACTTTCAATGCCCATCACATTTCTTTGGCACTCAAGTCTGTAGTACATGCATTTTCTAGTAAGACTGCTTGCATATCAGGACAATGATGTAGATTATTTGACAGCTTTTGGGCATATAGAACTTTTGCCTGATCTTTTAATGGGCCTTTCTCTAGCTTATATTCACAGCTGACTTGAAGGAGGTGTTGATCAAGACTAATCTGGTTCTTGAACTCTTCAATGCAGCCATCCATAGAACAAATGAATGTCTGCTTCTGTTGTTTTGAAGCCTGTTCTGTTCCTAAAAAGAGGATAAATAAAATAAAAATTGTTTCCCAAAAAAATAGAAAAATTCAAATTTACTACATTAACCAAGTTCAGTTCCAATTGGCCCAGTTGTATCAGAAGATTTTTGAAAAAGTTTATGCCAGACGGACTCAAAATGGGCCAGGTGACCTAAAAAGGACAACGATACAACATGTATAAATTTCTCTTTCAACAATGGGCAGCCTGATTATCTATAATAAGATTCTGTCGATACGCATAATCCTGTAACCCACAAGCAGGGAATTTAAATGATGCATAACAATGTTTATTGAGTTTTGTGTTGGTTTTCTCGGTTGTTGTGACAAAATATAATAATGATCATTGTCTTACAAGTGTGCTTAAGTTTTGTACATGACAGTTAGTGAATGAAATAATTATAAAATTACCTTCAGTAATGAGGTCATTAAAAGACATCTCTGTCCAGTCATTGAGTACTTTTAACTGCACAGAATTCTTTGTTGATTTTAAAGTCACAAGCTTTCCTGAAATGAAAATTGTAATTAAAGAACCTGTATTCATTTTATTGTTTGTTGAATTGATCAATATGGAAGTTTAAAAAAAATAACCAACTTCAATATCATAACCTCTATAGATTTTTTATGTTGTTATGATATAAAATTACGTGAATTTTTATAGCATCCATTCTAGTCTAGGAGTTTGTGGTCTTTTTATCAATAGGCTTAATGCAACCTTTTTATTAAGATGATTTAATTTTTTATGTTTTAAGATGAAGTGCTGAGCTTATTGAATTTAGTATTGGTATTGCTTTTAATTGTCTCAATATACTTTTAACCTCTGAACCAGGATTTCGGAGGAGGGTTGAGTACTTATAGACTTCTTTTACCCACCTGTGTACAAGCCAGACCCTGTATTTTCAGTGGTTGTGTTATGTTTAAAACTATATGTTATTTGTAATCTGTTTTTTTCTTTATGTTGAATATAAAAGTAATACCTTCATCAATATTGTATGTCTGCCACATCCTCAAATGACTGCTCTCAAATCTAAAGTTGTAAAAACTTGTAATATTGGTTATTGTTTCCTTATTCTTGGTTACATCTAAATCAAGAATTGTGTCAACAACCTTCACCCTGTAACGCTTCCCTGGTACTTTATCAAGTGCCTACAAAAGATTGGATACTAAATGAATTCTGATAGACACAATATAAAACAAGATGTGCTGTGAGTCATTGCTCACTAGTGATATCCCTGCTTTTTGATAGGTAGCCATCAAACTTTCACATTGATTTGTGATAGCCTTTTTGATTTATTTTGTGAAAACTGTTTGTGACGGACAGACGGAAAGCTGATTACTATAGGGCTCCTATGTCTGAATAAAAAGATAAGATATCAAATAAAGTTAATGAAATATCTTATATCTAATTTATGAGATATCTAAAAAAATAAATAAGATATCTTATAAACTAAACATAAGGAGGCTCCGGGGTCCCCCACTGGTGCTAAAATATAATATTTCCATAAAGCACTTGTGACCTTGACCTTTGAATCACTAGAAACATCAAAATCAATAGGGATCTTCCTTACCTAATAACATTTAACTGTGTAAGTTTGAAGAAATAATATGAAGGTGTTCAAAAGTAACAGTCCAGAAACCGATTTTGGACGGACGGACACACGGACACCGGTATTTCTATGTCCCCTCCAGTGGGGGACAATAAGAGATCTTATAAAAATTGTTTTATAAGATATCTTATAAATTATATCAGATGTCCTATAACATTCATTCTAATGCAACATTCGTTGTAACGTATGTACGTCAAATTTCATTGGATAAAGTTGTAATTTTCAGGGTATATATCAATCTGAAGATTTGGAGCCATCAATCTATGATTTGATGGTCGCAAATATCCGTTTACTGGCTCCGCTAACGTGTCGTTAGTAAACTCAATTTGCGACCATCAAATCCATGATTGATGGCTCCAAATCTGCAAATTCAATACAGTTAGCTCCTAATTGGATATCTTGAAAATCTTATATCTTCTAAAGTTTATGAGATATCTTTATAAACTTCTTTATGAGATCTCTCATGAAAGATATAAAATATATTATCATATACTTAGACTAAATAACATATGATTTTTACCATATGATAATAGCATTACATTTACGTATATTCCATATTTTTTCGAATTGGTGCTCAGCGGTCTGATATGAAAAGTTTATCACATGCTTCGACTTTTATCACATGCCTTTCCGTAACGTTATCGCATGGCATTCCGGTAATACTCGGCAAATTCTGGAAAATACACCTCAATGGTACGTTTTCAGTGAAAAACATTACAAAGTAGGGTACACAACAATTATTTGGATACTGGAAAGTATATTGTGTAAAATGGAAAAAAACAAACAATAAACAAATGATAAAATAAATGCATTTTTAACATAATTAAGAAAGTTACTTTAAAAATGTTGACTTTTCCAAACAGTGTTTATTATGTATATTGTTGAATAATTTTTTTATTGTCCGTATTAAAATATACCATACTGGTTTTTTTTCTTCATTGTTGAGGCATATGATAGAAAGATTTCATATCGATTGTACAACATTTGGGGTCTGACATCCGTGATTATCTTACCTCCTATACATTTCTAGGAAAATGATTGGTTTAAAGCGTCCGCGTGGAGACTGTGTATATTTCATATTAGGTTTGTAGGGAGGCGGGGCTTATTTCATACACGGTTAGTAGTGGAGTTACGTCCCCTTTATATTCCATATAAGGTTAGAAAGGAGGCGGGGCTTATTTCACACACGGTTAGTAGTGGTGTTGCGTCCCTTTATAAAAACAAAACGGTATTGAGAAAACATCTTAAAGATTTCAACAGACGAAGAAATTGATGATTAAGATTGAAGTGAATTCATAAAACACATTTAAACCTAACAAGTTGTTATTGTTGGCAGCTGTTTTTGTAGGATCAATGAGAGAAGTTTCTTAATGCTCAAAGTATTGAAGACTTCAGTGCTTATTTTGATAGATCACTAGTCTAAATTTCACACGTTAAGATAGTCGGTAAGATATATTCGTTACATAGTGTGCCAATGACGTAATACGGTATATATGGGGTCAGTAAATTCCATATGGGGATTCGAGCTTTGCTCTCCTCCCATATGGAATTTACTGACCCCATATATACCGTATTAGGTTACTAGCACACTATGTAACTTATAATATTTCACTCTTTGAACTGCTATTTAAGAACCACGTAAAAAGATCAATATATTAATCTGTTATTTTTCTTCATTGTTGAAGCATATGATAAAAAGATAATAGCATGTCATTTTTCATATCACATGTATTATCAGCCCTCGGCCAATATCAGCCCTAAAGCAATGCGGCTCTTGCGCTGATATTAAACCTAGGGCTGATAATACATGCGATATGAAAAATGCCATGTAATAATCTGATATTATACAAGATATCTTAAATACTTTTACAAGATATCTTATAAAGTCAAGTTTATGAGACATCTTATAAAGTGTATGCAATGATACTATTTTATATACAGTTATACCTACCCTCTTTCTTTAAGGTGGTAGTATTTCAGCTTCTGCAATCTTGTTCTTTGTATTTGTCGCAATAGTGTTCTAAGTTAAAAGAAAAGAAAAACTTTTTAAGAATATTTTAAACAAGGTACTAATTGAAATTGGAACAATAATGAATTCTGGAATACACATGATAATACTGAAGCAAAAACCAACCTATCTTAGAGGGTTTAGTAATATATGAATGGGTTAGGGTTCAGTTGAGGTATGTTTTATACACAAATGATTTAGAAACTTACCCTTAATTTACCCTCAATTATGCATGCATGAATGCATAGTTTAACACCTATTGGCCCTAAGTGTACATGTAAATTAGATCAATTAAAAACTTGGTTTTTATTTTAATAGATTTTTTACTAATGCTTAATGATGAAACTAATTTACCAAATAAAATGTGCAAAAGCTTAGTGAATATGAAGACCAAATTGGTACTTTAAAGTTTAATGTTATTTCTGAATTGAAAGATCTTCTTGTCATAGTAAAACTGAGTACATATGCAGTTTGACATGTAGTTACAATATGGATCCCATACATATATATATAAACATGACATAACAATAAACTCACTATTGACTATTGAGTATACATGTACATGTGTACAGGGAATCATATTTATACATGTATATGAAAAGACATACCTCCTCAACATGCTCAATATACTGTTATTTCCAAATAGTTTTTCTCTACACAGTCTACAAATTGCTGTAATATAAAAGAAAATAGATACACAATTGATCTCATTCTGTGTATCACTATCAAAACTATTTTTTGTTTTATTTAATTCCAAACAAAAAAATGTGTGTTTACTGTCACTTGCTGAAAAAAAAGGGTAGGTAGATAGGGATTTTTTTTTTTTACATTGAGTCTATGGGAGCAACATTGTGACTTTAACAGTACTTAATCAAAAATAGTCAAAAAAACTTAAGGGTAGGGGACAAAAATTAGGGTAAGTAGGGGTACAGTAAACCCACATACTTTTTTGTTGGGTCATATACTGAAATTAGGGTAGGTAGGTGTACAGTAAACCCACATACTTTTTTGTTGGGTCATATACATGTACATGTATGTACATAAAAACATGAATTTTAAAACATACATGTATCTCAAGTAAACATGAATAAAAGAAGGCTGTCCGCGCCCTTATCGGAATATAAGCCTTCTGGCGCATACATGTAGTTGTGACAATATTATGGCTATGTTGCGGCTTCATTGCACCAACATGTTGTGGCAATGATGCTGCATTAGCGTATTTCATATGCAAATAAGTTTTCTGGCACTGGTGCCAAAAAATGCTGTGGCTTCGTTGCCGCAACATGTTGTGGCTTCAATGCAGATATTGTTTTTTATTTTGTATGCAAATTAGTTTTCTGGCACTGATTGCGCCACTAATGCCTTTAAATTCTGGCTTCCTTTAATTATTGACTAAAAAGGTAAAGTAACGTCTGACCAGGCAAGTTTAGTGCTAAGTATACCCAAGAAAAAGTTTTAACTCCTTTATTTAACGTTATGATTTTTTTGTGTGCTCAGGGTTATTATTATAACTTTTTCTTTTAAAGAAAGTAAAGTTCTGTCCTCAGAAGTTATTCCTATATGTGATGTACTTAATTTTCCCACATTGAGGAAAAGGAAAGTTAAAATGTGTAACTCATGAACTGTCAACATGCAACATCTATACCTTCAATAACACCAACATAATTTCCATGATCCCAACAGGAGCCCCTTCACTGCAGTCAAAGGTGTTGTGTTTTGTCTGATTAGCAATCTAAATTCGTGATTATACTACATTTTTTTCCAAACAAATAGCACTTTCAAGCCGTCTTTAGAGGGATACAAAGACATAATTGACCAAACTTCTTTCAGCATGCTCTGTAAAATTTTAGCGAGGGTTAAATTGAGAAAGGGAAGAGAAACCATGACTTATGTTTCAGAAGGTACCAATTCGCCCGATTAGATGATAGTTCGTCCCTGTTAATTAGGATTTTTTGAAAATGCTCTCCAGGTCTATCAGGAAGAAGACAATTTCCTTGATTTAATTAAATGAGAGATTGAACTTTTATATAATGCATTTAATTAATCATGTTAATCTAAGTTTACATACAAGTCTTCACAATAACAGAACACCCAATTCTTCACTAAAATTATAAGCTCAAGCAACATATGGTCCACTTCTAACACACCACCATGACCACAGTAAAAAGCTCAAACACTGGTGACATCATCAATGATATTATCAATGTTCTGGCTCTATTCTGGCATCATTTTAGTAGATTAAGAATGAGAAAATTATATGTGTGCTTTATGGCAACATTGTGGCACTTTTTGTCATGAAAGGAAATAGCGCTGCACTGTAGCCAGAATGATGCTAGCGGCATCATTCAGCACTTATCCGGCATCAATTTTCTGGCAACCTGATCAGCAGTCGCAACATTGCAGCATTGTTGCTGCAACATTTTTTATTTCATAAGGACCGGTATGAAATGATGTGATTATCATGTACAAAATCTTACAAATCTGGTAAAGGAAAGGAAACGTGAAACAGCATTCATGTTATAATTTTTGTCTCTCAAAAACAAGATTCAAAGAACTTCACATAATTTTATGTTTTAAAGTTTAAAAAAGGGGTATTAAAGAAGTTCATATGGCTGTCACATGCTAAAAACAATAAGCTTAAGGTTCATAGCCAAATGGTAGATAATTAGTAACCCTAAGGTTTTTTTTGTTTGTTTGTCTTTTTTTGGGGGGGGGGGGGGGGGGGGGTACCTGACAGCTGCATTTGATTTCTTTTTTATAGGAGGTTTATCACTGTATCTTTTTTAAAGAAAAATGGTATTAGGTAAATAGTATCTACTTACATGTTCCAATAGGAATGAAAATGCCTGTCTTTGTAACAATTCTTTGAAACATCTCGGGTGTAACATGTCGATCCACTGCTTTTGTAGTATTATGATATTTCAAAATGACATTTACTGAAGGCACACCACAATTTTTCCTTCTATATCTCTTGTTAGTTGTTTCGATGATAATATTTCTATGAATATCACAGATCCTAAGTTGTGACGTACAATGTAATGTCAGATTTAAGTAAAAAAATTTCTGACAAAAATTTATACATGTCTCTTTTTCCAATGGAAGCATTTTCAAAAATACCTGTCGTCACTGCAGTTGTCACAATTGCCTACGAAATCTTTTATGCTACACATTTTATAACAATTGTTCGAAGATTATATCAATAAATACATTAAAAAAGTTAGTTACGGTAAGCAAAATAAACTATAAAATACACTGTCTTAGTACAGACACAGTTCCATTGTTCTGACAATATTTTCAAAATATGAGCAAATCACACCAACTTAACCATATATATAAGTGTAGGCTAACATCACTGTGAAAAATTTACCCATTTCCCATTATGCTTGAATATAAAACATGAAGAAATTCGCAAAATAACATTGTTGTCTGCATTTGTTTACATTTTCCCTCCTGTTTTTAATTTGTTTCTCTTCAAGAGAACTCCGTAAAGGGAGGTAATTTGATTAGGTAAATACAGGACAACTCAACTTTTCAGGGTCAATTAATTTCAACACAGTCAAGTTTGCCCACTGATTTTTTTTCCTTTCTTGTATAACCTTAATCCATTCTCTCTATTCATATAATCAACAATATAAGAAATGGCTGCATTTTTTTACAACACCTGATCAAAATAGGCTCTAAAACCCCCCTTTTATTGCACTTTTTACCCTATTTTAGCTATATAGATTTTTTTTAAGAAAGTTTACTGTTGAACACAACTTTTATTTGTTTTTTTTAAACTGAAAAAAGTTTTAAATGTCTGAATATCTATATTATTTTCTTTTTATTAGACATTATTGATCATAATTTGTAAACACTGCATTTTCCCTCTTTCTTGCCACTTTAAGTCCTGTTACCAAGGAAACGGTAAACATATGGGGCTAAGTGTAATAATATTTTTTGTTAAGCTCATGTGGCTCTATTGAACTAATAAAGTTTAAAACAAATATTTTTTAGTGCGTGCCGAAATATTTTGGTGATTACAAAGAATTGCTTTTAATTAGTTGATGAATATTTCGGTTTGACCACTCAATACTACCCTGTGATTGTAGATGTATTGGCTTCTCATGAACAATAAATAGTTCTGGCACATTAGCATTAATTCAGATATACATGTTACTTTGCTGTTTATGTGGCACACCAGATATTGTGAAAACATAAACTAAATTAGAAGCCGCCTATGAAGCACTTTTTGACGAAAGAGCTCTAGAAGTATAATATTTTAGGTGATCTTGGTACACCATAAGAAGATATAGTTTCCAGCTCACTTTGATTTCAAATTGATTAAATCAACCTGTCCTCTTCTGAAAACTTTTTGGATAAAACGGGTTTAGCTACTTCTCCCTTCCCTATGCACATTTTATCGTGTAACAATTTTCACAGAATGGAAGAAATAGTACAATGGAATCATGGAAAATGTTCGCAAAGTCAGTATTAAATTTTTTTTAATTCTACAGTCTATAATAATAATAGGCCGCTTTGACATATTTCTTCATGAGTTTTTCCCAAAATACCGTACAGTTCCTCTAGAAAAACATAAACGTTGAAATTTTCCTGATCATTCTCTTTTACTATACAATAGTCTTTCAAGCCTCCAATGGTAAAAAATTGCCATACAATTTTAATTTTTGCCAAATGATCATTGTATTTTTGCCTTGGGTATATTGTCTTTGTTTTCTCCGATTCAAATTTATATTTCGCAAAGATTCAACATGTTCAAGATTTTTTTTGTTTCTTAAAAGCTTATAATCCCGATTAAGAAATGAACAGACAAGATAGGTGTTTAAGGTTTAAGAAAATTTACATATCCAATAAAACAGATGGAAAGATGATGTGATTGTTTTCAGTTGTCTTTTTTTGACCAGCTCAAAACGGCTCGAACATTGAAGAGCAATACCATAAAGAAATTTTTCTGTTTTGAATACGAAAAAATACCAAAAAAGAAGATCTGTTAAATCAGTTTATATTAATTTCTGGTAAATAATTTGTTTTAAATTTTATTCAACAAGAGTATTTCACCGAATAAACAAGTGTTTGGAAAATAAACAAAAACCTTGAAATTAACTTATTACTTGAAATGATGTCTGGCAATAGGTTGAATAATCATCATCAGATTTCAAGAAACAAGCATAATGCCTGGAAATTTCAGGCAATCACTTAATACCTAGGCGTTAGCTTATTGCCTAGGATTTAAGCTTGATGCCTAATTTCACTTATTGCCGCTAACACATATAGTAATATACAATGCTATAAAATCACAAAACCTTTAATTGAAATGTTCACAAACAATACTGTGTCGTGTTTGCTTGAAATGTTGTAGTCATTAAATGTAATTTGAATTTTATTAATCGAAATATTTGACAGATATAACAAATTTACATACGAAAAAACGGACAATAAACATCAAGTTTGTCCATATTTGTAAAACATCACCGAACGTGTCAAGATAAAGATTTATAGTATTTAATTTATAACCATACAATCCTTTATTGTTATATTTTTTTAATGTTTGAAATTAAAACAACTCAACATCAAAATAGTCCTATCGCTTTTATTGATCTTAAAGGTTTTTTTTCATTTCTCAGAATGATTTCAAGGTAATTTAAACTTATTAGCAAAAAATAAATACACTTCAATTTCCATTGATATTGACTAGAATGGATTGTCTCTTGAAAGATATCTGTTAAGAATGCTGACAAAATAATCGTTTATGTCATTTTGTCTATAGCGGAATCTTGTCTCATTGATAATCATACCACATCTTCTTAAAATTCTAAATTATGTTTATACTTTCTTTTATTTAAAATTGAAATATTTATTCCAACAACAAAATTCAACCGTATGATAGACACAATGATAAAGATATCGATCAAATAAATTGTATGCACTTTGAATGTCTTAAGCAAATTTATAATGTTTGTGTATTAACAAAAGTATCTTAAACATATATGCATCTACGGCGCCTGTGTATCTAGTATATCAATACCTTATATAATTGTATTCAAATTAAGATTACAAATGACGAAGACAACAGCAAATGTAAAGCAAATTGCTAACGGTAAGTGTAATATTTGTATTAAAAAGGACATTAGGTACAATAAGTATAAAACATAGTGAACGCTATATTTAACCATTATTACACATAACGTTTTTGAGACTATATAAGTGCCATCCGGAGCACCTGAGATCACCCCATGTTTTTGGTGGGGTTCGTCTTGTTCAGTCTTTAGTTTTCTGTGTTGTGTTTTGTGTTCTGTTGTTTGTCAGTTTATCTTTGTCTTTATTGTCCATGGCGTTGTCAGTTTATTTTCAACCTATGAGTTTGAATATCCCTCTGGTATCTTTTGCCTCTCTTTAACGGAACTAAATAAGGTTGTCTTTAATATGACAATTTTAAACTTTTGCACATAAACTGCAGTCACAAGGCAACATATTGAGAAAACTTCTTGACCACACATTTTATGTTACCGCAACAAAATGTCGGGAATATTGTTTTAACTTTGCCCGTCCGTCCGTCCATACCACACAGGGTGCGTGGTTTGTCCAGCTTTTTCCTTCTGTTTTCAAGCTAGAATCTTTATTTTATACTAAATATCTATCTAATACCATGGTCAAACTTTTTTAGTATAATCGTTTCCTTAAAATCTTATTATAATAATTATCGAGGAATCACAATTACTGATTCAATGGGAGAAGCTTCTTATAAAAAAAAACACTTTACACTCGTCTTAGATAAATGCCATATCATTAATGATTGCCAAATCGGTTTTATTAAAATAGCATGACCATCTGACCACATGTCCATTCTCAAAACCTTAATTGATAAGTAATGTAACACAAAAAAAGGTAGAGTGTTTCCTGCTTTGTTGATTTTCAGAAGGGCTTTGCTACTGTCATTTACCCCGAGATAAGACTCAAGTTATCAGGGATGGGTTCAAATTTTAGCAATGTCTTAAAGAGCATGCATGCCCCAGGGCAGATATTGTGTTCGATGGATGAATAGGCAAAAAAAAAGGTCACAATCAAAAGCACGAACACATCAAACGAATGGAAATCAACTGTCGATACCTGACTTGGTACAGACATTTCCTTCAGTAGAAAATGGTGGATTAAACCTGGTTTTATAACTAGATTAACCTCTCATCTATATGAGAGTCGCATGGAATTCCATTATATTGACAACAATGTGTGAGCAAAACAAACAGACATAATAGGTAAAAATGTCAAAGTTCTTGGTGCAGCAGTCAATACTGTCTTCTCATCCTAAACACTATAAAAACAACTATTTCAACAAAGAAAAACGAAATGGCATATTGATACTCTATAGACAAAGTACAACAGCAAAAATGAAAGAAAAGGATACAAAAAATAACCATAGCACAATAACACAATGGCAGGAGTATAAAGAGCTGGAATCCTCTTTATTTAAGGCCCAAGATACGGCATCTTGGCCTAATGATATCCATTACCAATTTTTCAAGAACGGCATTCATTGACCGTCCGTTCGAGCGCTTTAAAGATACAAACCGTAGTCAATGATTGCCTTGCTTGGCTCCAAAAATTAAATGGGTTATCAGGCAAAATTCATTAGCATAAGGTTTCGGCCTTTTCGATTTAGAACAGGCCTTTGAAACCACATGAAAACGTTGTATTTCAAAAGATCATTTTGATATCGAAATTTCTCTTTGACAGACGTTTTATTATTGGGGTGAACTGGAACCTCAATAGAGTATGTTATCCGTTACATTATTTAGCTTCAACAGTAAAATAAAATTTTGCATCTTCTTTTTACATTTATTATTTTCTAATATGATACTGAGGCCAAAACATGAGTAATATAGAACTCAAATTATTTCTATGCATTAGCAGAATAGAACAATTTTGAATTAATAGTGTTATCAAGACGTCGATGCGAGAAATTTTTTTGAAATGTACAAGGGAATACTTCGTTAAAATCATCAATAAATTAATTCCTGAAAATACTTCTACATAAATATAATCATATAGATAAAATGCATGCATATCGCTGGGGTCTCGACATGGTCCTACTTCTTATAATCAAATTACTCAAATCGGTTGATCATGTTCACTGAATGTTCAAGAATTATTAGTTTAGTATGGATTAGACAAACAGTAATTAATTTCTGGAGGTAAGCATCATTGATTATTTTTATAACGATCTTCGATTTTCAAACTCTCAACAGATGTATCACATTTTATAATTCACACTACTTATACACATATTAAGATGATAAAATTGGGAAGGGAAATGGGGAATGTGTCATAGAGACAACAACTCGACCAAAGAGCAGAAAACAGCCGAAAGCCACCAATGGGTCTTCAACACAGCGAGAAAATCCCTCCTCGAAACAAAAAAGTGAACTGGTTCAGTGAAAATGGACGCTATACTAAACTCCAAAAC